TCTGGCGTCTTTTTTTATCAAAATTATATAATTTTCCACAAACAAATAATTTCTTCATATCCATCAACCGTAAATGGCACCGCAAAGAATTTACAAGGCACAAAAAAAACAATAGAAAAACAGCTCAAAGTGGACCATCTATTCTCAAGTTATACGAGGTCAGACGTACGCAACTTGGGTAAATAAGCTGGGCCCTTACTCTGTAGTAGAGCTCTCGATTTTGTTCGCACATTTTCAAACAGCCCGGGTATATGAGCAGCGAGTACTCGCACACTTGTTCAATGCTCATTACTCGAAAATTGTCGAGCATGAGCTCGAGCAATTCGAGCTTTTTCGAGTAATTTGAGCAATGTTTTTTTTATTGTATTGACATTTTTGGTAGCAGGTTTTTAAATTTTTCAAATTATTGATATATAATGCAAAGATTGTTTCATTGGTATTTAATAATATAATTTATTTAACATGAATTAGAAAGCAGCTGCTGACAAATACAATTTATTCAATTTTCTTTTGTTTATGAAATTGTTCAAAAACTCGAAAATTTGTAACAAACATTTGAGCTGTTGAGCAATGAACGAGTTTCGAGCGAGTATCGAGCTACTCGCATTGCTCGATACCCGGGTATCTGGAGCTCTACTCTGTAGTTCGAATCGATAGTAAATTTGTTCGAATTCGAACGATTGGTACTATAAAAGTGTTAGGCGTTCGAATAGAAATTATTTCCTCTTGCTTCCAATAAATATCCCTGTGGGTGGGAGTGTTAAATTTTAGAAAAAAGCTACTTACAAAACCTTTAATAATTGAATCATGGGTTGCGACCAAACAAATGAAGAACAAGGCAATGCATATTGTCTTAATACACATGCATATACATACAATGTACGTATAAACATTCACTCATATATGTAAATATTTTAATCGTTTAAATCAGAGGCTCCCAAATTTTTTTTCCCGTAGACCCCTTTCAAACCCTTACTGGTTTCGGTGGACCCCCAACTGCTACATGTCTAACATATTCCCAAAGCTCATCAAAAAATTTGAAGACTAGATCTAACGATGTAAATTTGCATCGCGGGTGAGTTCCAAAACTAAATTCGAAGAGGCAAAAGTAAAAATAAATATTTTATCGTGTTCTCTTTATTAAAGCAATGTAATTACACACTTGGAAGTTTTTAAAAACAGAGCTCGTAAAGCGATCAAAGTACTCTCTCTAGCTCTGAGGAGTTATATTTAAAGAGAAGTCCGAGCGCTAGCGTTATTTACATTCTCTTTAGCAAAACCTCCCTCCTCACTTGTTTGGCTCACTCAAGAATTTGTATGTGGCCTATTGGTAAAATAGTTTATTTGTGTTGATGGCATCATTTTTATTTGTATCACTCCGAGTTTTAAAGTGATGAGAATGCCTGGCTTGAGCCAGTTCTGGGCAACCGGTTAGATATCTTATTACCAACTCCCGAGTGACCTGGTACCCAGAGTATGTTTACCAACTAAAATAATAACATAAGTTGAGACTTGCAATGCCGAACTAGTGAGGAAGTACTTAGATAGAGGGCTGGCCAATGTCTTAAGTGCAGCCTGGCTGTCACTTCATTTATGTAAACTCCTTCCCCTCTATCTATTTTACACCACTTAGGTTATGGCTTTGAGGATTGCAAATACCACAGCCTGTAAGCCTGGGGTACATTCCCCAAGATATAAGTGAAGCTTATCCCCAGTTGTGAAGCCATCAGTGAAGACTCGACATTATGTGAGTTCGGGCACAGTGCTGGAATTAAACCGGCATTCAGCTTCAGGGAACTCCACATTATAGAACCTCCTCAACAAAGGTAATGGTGGCGTACTATCCTATAGCATTGACAATACACAAGTGCTCTAATCTCTGCCAACATTGACAACATGAAGGTGGCCTTTAAGGCTTTCCTACGTATGAAGACATAAAGTGGCATACATACCACTCAAAAAAATTAAAGCCAAATAAAGAGGATATCAAGCAACCATTTTGATTCTTTACTATCGATAGATTTTCGTGGACCTCCAGTTACAACTCGTGGACTCCCATATTTTTTTCACTTTGGGAATCACTGGTTTAAATTATTCGCTATAATCTCGCCATCTAGACAAATTCGTATTCGCGTAAACTCATAGCAGCGGTCATGCCCCTCGATGAAAGTGCCTTTTGCCTGCTATCATCTGATTAATAGCCAAATCTTAAACATTCGCCTTTTTCTCTATTTAAAAAGAATATGCAGCTTCGGGTATACGTACATTCGACTGCATCACCAAAAAGTTGCGGTTTTTTCGCCGAGATTACAAAATTTATTATATTAGGACGTCCATCAACATGTTTCGGAAAAATATTAAGATTTACGTGAGCTGGAGCGATTTGAAAATACCTCTAAAAATGGAGTTTTTTATGAGTAAAAATAGTTTCTTAAAGAACTTTTTGAAAAAAATCTCCTCAGATGACAAAACTGATTAAGCTTAAAAAATCTGCATAAAAATATTTAAAAATCTTTTCAACGGAATCGTAATAATTAGATTTTTGTTGCTGCTTTTAACCTTTTTCAAAGACTGATTTACGAAAAACTTGAATAACTGGGCCAAAACTGTTTTTATTTAAACTTATGGGGTCTCAGTAGAAAGGTACTTTCCCACTATTTTTATTTCTATGTAAAAAAAAATCATTCACGTTCCAATTTTTTTTTTTTCAAATACCAACATATCTTAATTCAACTTGGAATTACGCTAGTTTATTAGCAAAGAAATAAAAAGAATGAGAAAATACCTTTCCAATGATAACTCGGAAATCGGAATAGTTTAGGTTCAGTTATTCAAGTTTTTCTTATACTACTCTTTGAAAAAAGTTAAAAAATAGCATCTAATATCCCATTACGATTCCGTTGAAATTTTTTTTTAAATAATTTATGCAAATTTTTTAAAATTTTTTATGAAAATTTTTTAAGCTTAGACCGTTTTGCCGTTTGAGGGTATTTTTTCAAAAAGATATTTAATGAACAATTTTCATTCATAAAAAACTGAAATTTTGGAGGTTTTTCAAATCAGTCCAGCTCCCGTAAATCTTAATACTTTTCCGAAATATTTTGGTGAAAGTCTTAAAATATAATAGATTTAATAATTCAAATGGAAACACGGTACCGATATTTTTTTGTATGGGCAGTGATGCAGTCTAATGTACATATGTATGTATATATATATCACGATACGCTCTGGAAGAATGGCGATCGTTCAGCGATCGGTTTCTTTATTTAGTAAAAATTTGTCGTGCATTGCGCACAAAAACCAAGTAGTGACAATAGCTACCAATCAGTTGTTCTTCAACTTCCGTTGGTCCAGAGTAATTATCGAGCTATTAAATTGAAGGAAAAAATGTTAACGGGAATTCTTTTCTGCATTTGCGCAGTGATTTGCCTATATTTATCATATCGTTATGCAGTTAGTCGTCCTGAAGGATTTCCGCCTGGTTAGCATTAATTTAATCCCTTATTTCCGTCGTTTTTAAAGTTATTGACAAATAAGTTTGCTCTTTTTTGCAACATTTTACTTCAAGGACCGCCACGATTACCGCTCTTCGGAAGCTATTTATTCATGATGCTGGCTAATAAAAAATATTTGCATAAAGGTGTACTGAAATTTAGCAAATGGTATAAATCGGATATTGTGGGTTTTCATGTTGGACCCTTTCCAGTGGTTGCAGTGCACAGTGCTGAGGGTGTCAAAGAAATATTGAATAGAAGGGAATTCGATGGACGTCCGCCTATATTTATGGGTCAAATGCGTGCACCTGAAGATGAATTATTAGGTAAATTTGGTGAAATAGTATTTTTTGAAAAATTTGTGTTTTTTTAGAAATGAAACGTCCATATAAATACTCGAATTCGAAAGCAAAAAAAATTATTCCTAAAAAGTTCGTGCAAAATAACTCTTTAATTAATTAAAATTATTATTTTTTAACTGTAAGCCAACGCCTGATTGGAAGATCGCCCTGCCGTTTCGAAAACGACCTATCTCAGCAAATGGCAATTTCAGCTGCCGATATATTGAATGTATATTGGAATATGGCGTTTTCGAAGCGGCAGCTGAGATAGGGCGATCTCCAACTAAGGCGGCGAAATATTCTTAAAAAACCGAGGTGCTTATCAGGATTAAGCATTTAAACGTATATACATATGTATACATATTACATATGTATGTATTTATAGGGATTGTGGAAGAAAACTAAATCTTTTGTTGAGATGCACTAGGTCTAAAGTACATTTCCACTGAGTAACAATGTCACTGGAATTATTTGTACATACTTGAAAAACGATCACGGCAAAAATAATAAGACAATCGCGAATATTTTTAGCGATTAAAAATGCATACATAATAATATAGTTAAAGAATATACAATCATGTACAAAATATTACGACAACAAAAAGTCCATAATTGTGCAAGCGACAACTTGAAACGAAAAGCTTCTGTGATCAATAACAGTAATTTTTTAAATTTCACTTTGCTTGTTTGTTCAAATTTGGTTTGAAAAGAAACCGTTTTTAGCGTTGTGAATTTTCCGTGCCATTTTTCAATGTCATTTTTAATTTGACGAGGGATGGCGAAAAATCGTTCCAGAATAAATCAATTTTAATTACATCTATTTTCTATAAAGTTGTTCTATTATGAGATTTTCGTCTCGGGTTATACTTCTTTTAAACTGAAAAATTTTAATTCAGTATTAAATCATACTACTTTTCACTTTTTTAATGAACGATATTTCTCTAAAACAAAGTGTACAGCTATGTTTCGTTATTTGTTTATATCCACTCGCAAAACTGCGTAGTTTTGGACTGTGAGGTATGAGGGATATTTACTCGGATTTTCCAAGCCTTTTTTACACGTCTTTCTTTAAATTCTGATTTTTTTCTAATATCGAGTAAACCGTCCAGAGGCTACGCATATTAGCTCTCTACCTCCCTCGAAACTAGTTGGATTCATTAGAGCACTAGGGCTGAACGTTGTGTTATGATGAGCCCTGAGTGCACAATAGACCTAATGTCGTAGTCTAACATCATCTATATCTTTGGATTTTAACCCCCTAATAAGCTACAGTTTACTGTTTTCCAACAATAAGTGTTACTGTAGAGAAAATGTGTACAATAAAGTCGATTTATCTATTTTTTCCTTAACTATAAAATGGACCAGGCCTTTTCAAGTCTCCATTTTTCGAATAACTCGAAACATGGTTTTCGAAAAAGGCGAAAAATCAAAAATCTTAGGTGCTATACTCGTTTAAGTATCTTGTTCTTATAATGAAGCTCAAAATATCAATATTATAAAATTAGAAAACACTATAACAATTACAAAGAACATATTTGAATTCAAATATTATAGCAATACCCGCATGGTGTTGAAATGCCAAAATTCAATTTATACACAGGTGGCAACCTTACTCAGAAAGTTGAAAAAAATATATTACAAATGAGTGAAAGGAACTCTCTCATGTTGTCGGTATCTAATTAATTTTTAAATTTAAATTTAAAAATGAGATTCTGATATAAAAATCCACCTAAGACTTAACTGTCATCGGTGATATTAATGCTGATCTTGTATAACGCTTGACATAATTAGCATCAGTGATGACAGGTAAGTTACAGATGAGTTCTAACATCACTAAGTACTTTTGGTGAAAATTGCAGATAGAGGGTATTGAATATAAGCCCCCTATATATAGATTGTATGTCCTGACAATTCAAAGCATGATTTTGCTTGGTGGTCTTAATATTCTACACATGACTCAATATGTACATACATATACTATATATCGACGGTACTTTGGCAAAACCTCGTATCTCAAAACAGTCAAAAAACACTCTCTAAAAAAACGCTCTATTAATAACAGAAAACGATTTTTAATAACTTTTTTTTACTGAATATTAAAGGTTAACTACTTTTTAGTTAATTAAGAATAATATAATGAATCGCAGTATTTTAAGGACTATTTTGAATAATTTTACGAGATACGAAGTAGTAGTAAGTTCTGAGTTACGAGGTTTTGCCAAAGTACCGTCGATATGTGAATATGTATACACATATAAATATGTAAAACTTCTGTACTTTAAAGTAAATCAATATGTAATACAGTAGTCCCCGGTTAGTTGAACTTAAAACTTTATTTAACATTTTTTTATTTATATTATTACATGCTTATTTAAAAGTATTTTGTGTGCAATATTTCCTGGACCACGCAGCTGATTCAAATAAGCGGGGAAATCAATTAAGGGTGGGTGATTGAAGCGGGGACCACTATTATATATTTTGTTTTTTGCCAAGAGTTTTTATGCTTAATTTCGACTTATTTATTTTCTGCTTCGTAGGTATTTTTTTCCGCGAAGGTCCTGTGTGGAAGGAGCAACGTCGCTTTATTTTACGATACCTTCGTGATTTTGGATTCGGTCGTCGTTTTCTTGAACTCGAATCAGTCATACAAGAAGAGGTAACTGATCTCTTAGATCTCATACGCAATGGACCACGTTATCAGCATGAGCATGAATTATCCAAACCTGGCGGTTATAGAGTTTGTGTGCCAAATATCTTTAGTCCATTTACCTACAATTGCTTTTTACATGTCATGATGCATGAACGCCAGCCGCGCTCAGAACAGGCCGAGGTGTTGCACCTCATCAAAATGGGAATGCAATTTCAACGGAACGGTGATGATTATGGTAAAATGCTGAGCATCATGCCTTGGATACGATATGTGTTTCCCAAATGGAGCGCATATGATGTACTAACAGAGGCGAATAAAGCTCTTTTTGAGCATTTTGAAAAAATCGTAGATCATCACATTGCCACCTATGATGAGTGCAGTGAGAGAAATTTTCTAGATTTGTATATTAAACAGATGAGAATGGAGCATGATCAAGGTCAGACGGATGTTTACTATCGCGCACAGTTTATATTGGGCCTGGTGGACTTTGCTTTCCCTGCATTTACAGCAATCGGCGTTCAAATGACATTTTTAATACAGCACCTTATGCTGAATCCAGAAGCAATGAAACGCATACAGTCCGAAATAGATGAGGTTGTTGGAAGATGTCGACTGCCGACGCTTGAAGATCGTAAATATTTACACTACACAGATGCTGCTATTCGAGAAGGTCTGAGAATTGAGACTTTAGTGCCGTCAGATGTCCCGCACAGAGCGCTAGAAGACACAGAGTTGCTGGGTTACAAAATTCCAAAGGTACTTAAAATTTATCCGTAAAAAAATTGTAAAAGAGAAAATAAGAAGCATTTTTTGTTTTGAATTTAGCACACTATTGTGATACCGAGTTTGTATGCATATCATGCTGATGAACGCATCTGGGGCGATCCACAAAACTTTAGACCGGAACGCTTTTTAGATGAAAATGGAAAGCTTTCGCTGAAAAAGGACGTATCACTTCCGTTCGGCGCAGGTAACTTGTTGCACAAAACACTACTAAAAGTTCAGGAATAACATTTTTATTTTATTATTTATAGGAAAACGACTTTGCGCGGGAGAGACTTTTGCACGAAATATGCTCTTTCTTTTAACCACCGCAATTTGCCAAAATTTCAATTTTACATTAGGTCCAGCAGATTCCTTGCCCGATTTGTCGAAAAATTTAGGGGGTTTGATCATTACTCCGCCTGACTTTTGGCTGCAATTGGAGGAAAGGGACTAACACGCATACATATTTGTTTTGATATTATTAAAAAAAGGCTGGATTTCCTACATGTTTATTTACATACATGTACATATATGAGTAGTCCACTTGCAAACAGCGTTATGTGATTTTATAATAATAAGCCATAAATTAAAAAAACGACTACTAGGACAACAAAAAACATATAAAATTAATCTTTTTTTATTACCTCAAAATTTGGATAAATAAAAGCCTAATAACATTATCACATAACATAACACAACATAACATTAAGAGTATATATGACCTAAAACAGTTTTTAAGTTCATCAAAAGATGGAGACTTTTGAATGATTATAAATAAGTATAAGAACGACTTTTGCAAGAGTAGTTAACATTTAATCCTATTTTTTCAGAATGTAGAAAGATTTCGTACTGTGTTGTTAATGGACATGGAAGTACTTTAACCCTGGGATTCAGTAATTCTGTATCATCTCAAGTGACTAAATTTGAGATTAGTAATTAGTGACTATTTTTGTGACTTGAGATGATTTGGGTATTCAGTAGGAGAGAGTCACAAAAAGTTCATCAAAAATGTGTGGTGAAAGCAAGCACATACAGTCAACTGATAGTGTTTATGTATGCCTTTTGCCAGCGCCGCTCAAAGAGTCGCAATTGCCTAGTGGTCAAAGGATTAGGCTGCCGGCCGAGTTCAGGTTCGTGTCCCTCTCGGGCTTAGAGGATTTTTTTTTTTTTATTAAGTATTTTTGTCGTTTTTTATTAGTTTAATTTATTTTAATTAATCTTTAGATTTTAATGATTAAAAGACAAAAAAATAAATTTGTTTTCTCAATGGATTTGTATGATATTAAAGCATTTTGGTTTATTTCCTAACGAAATTGTTGTTGAACAAATTTCCTCGCTGCATTTACGCATTTTTTTTATAAAATGGAAAGCAGTTGACTTTTCCTCCATGTTTTTATTTTTAGGGACTTTATTTTGAGACTGAGACGTGTGACAGGGTACTGAATACCAAATCGTCTCAAAATCCAAGTTCACCACCAAAACTCTCTATTAGTGACTAGAGACTGCTTACTGAATGCCACGTTAAATACTGGTACGTTACCCACTAAAAACTCAAAATCTAAAAAATTTTACATAGCGCAATTTACAAGTGAACTACTCATACGTATGTGCGCTTTTGTTACGCTTATTATGTCGGAATGGGTGGGCAGAAATTAATGTTTTTTTTCACATACGCACGTTGCTAAAGGATCACACTCTTGTTTAATAATCAGGGAATGGATTTTATGGAAATTCCCTTTTTTCTGCTAAAAAGATAGAGTATATTCGATTAAGATTGTCCACGATTTAGCTTTCCCGGATTCTATATATACACATTTGATATTGCCTTTTTTTGGCATTTTTAAGATATTTGCCTTTTTTGCCTATTGCGCCTTTAAAAAAGTGATTATTGCGAGGAAAAAGCCCGTATTCCTGTTAATATAAAAGTTTCAAACGCTCCATATTTAAATTGGACGCCACTTTTATCAACTCACGTCGAGCGCACGTTTAGGACATTCAAAGCTGTGTTAATGCCTGTTCTGTTACAAAAAAAAAAGTAAGTGCGCCTGGGCCACACTGGAGAAGTGAAACTTACGTTACATATCTATTTTGTCTCTGTTCTGTTTAAGGTTATATTTTTTTCTTTTTTTCTAAAAAGGCCTGCAAATGTTGAACTATAAAACATAGCGACATGTGTCACATCATGCAAGTGCCAGTTCATAGTATGTCGCTCATACATGTTTCACAATAACATATCGTCGCCTCAGAAAACGGATGACGAATGTGCAAAATCACGATTTTGGGATTTTGATGCAGATTTACTAAGTTGGACATGCTCTTTCGATTTCTGCAATCCATTTTTTTATATCTCCATTAGTCTTTGAGATATTTCGTGCGCATTTTGTCGTATGTTACATAATATTAATGATTGGGTACGCCTTTTGTTGTATGTGCTGAAAATGCGTCACATACGACAAATTCCCATACAAACGTACCTTTTTTTTAATCATAAAACGTTTGTCGTATGTGGCACATACGACAAATTCCCATACAAATGTAATCCTTTTTTAATCATAAAACATTTGTCGTATGTATCGCAAAACTTTGAACTTACGACAATTGGATGGTCCTCTACTATAACGATACAATTAAAATTGAAAATTAAACTAAGTAACTAATTTTAAAATTTTAAATTTTTAAATTTTAGCTTGCACTGAGTCTCCAATGAAATGAAAGAGATAAAAATGTACAAAAGACTGAATTTAAGTATTGTTTTTTGTTTTTATATAAAGAAAACGTATGTTCGTAACATATTTACAGCGTAAGAGATGTACAGATTTTTTTTATTAAATACATGATTATGTTTTTGTTATGTTTTTTCTAATAAGTAATCATTATTTAATAAATATGTCTGTTTTTTTCATCAAATTATACCATCGTCGTTGAAATAGATACTTTACTATTGTCGTATGTTCTGTGGACAAAACAAAGTGGTGAGTAAACGCTACTTACGACAAATGTATACGGAATGAAAAGTAAATTTTCTCATTAACGTTAAGAGATATTATATGTAAAAATATGGGAAATCAAAACTAATAACACCAACTACGTCTCCTTCAAAAGTTACAAAAATCTACCGTACAGTTTCGGATTAATTCGACCTTAAACTTCAAAGTCAATTTTCTCAAAGTGTTTGTAACATTCGACATCCGTTTTCTGAGACGACGATATGAAGAACCTGTCGAATAATTGAAATCAAATCATGCATCAGATCTATGCATGTCAACACAAGCAACACATGCGACACGTGCGACATAAACAGCATTATTAATTACATTTTATATAGGGGAAATTTTTTAAGCACTATTATAGTAAAATGCATTAAAGAATTGCCTAATTAAAAACCTGTATATATTTTCATCCAAGGCAGGATCAAACAGTATTAAAAATATGCTACGGAAGCACATCAGCGAACAACAGCTTAGTCCCCTTTCAGACACGTCAAGTCTTGCTTTCAAGTCTGCTCGTTCGTAGGCGAAGGAGGTGAGAAGAGAGGGGAAGAGTACAGATACCTCCGTACCGTCAATTCGTTTCAAGTTTTCTTGTCTCTTTTGATCTTTTCGTTGCTTCCCATTTAAAGAACCAAGGACTTGAATTCAATTAAAGTTGACGCGTGTGGAAGCAAATAGAAAACACAAAAGAGAATGTGAAAAAAATGCTTTCAAGACTTGACGTGTCTGAAAGGGGACTTAGCTAAGTAGCAACGACATGCTAAAACAGTATGTTTGAGATGGAATGACATGGCATAACACCTTGCTTGAGTTGACATGACATAGCAATGCATGAAATTTTTGAAAAACACATTTTTACAGAAAATGTTGAATTTTGCAGTTCTTTAATCCCTACCTCTACCCCTGCTCGTTCTAATTACATTTATGTCGAGCCCTAACCGCCAAAATAACGTAAGCGACATTTTTTTCAACATTTTCTTTTTGATGCAGAAATATTCCTAGAGCTTCTAGATACATTTCTGCGTCAAAAAGAAAATTTTGAAAAAAATGTCGCTTACGTTATTTTGGCGGTTAGGGCTCGATGTAATTCCGTTTTCCTTTATCTTCGTTTTTATCTTTATCAGGGTTGTTGCGAATATTTGCATTCGCATTCGTTATGCTAATGATTCGCATCATTTTACACGTGCGCATTCGACATTTGCGTTAGCATCAAACGATACGAATGTGTACATGGGCAGAAAGTCCACTCTAGTATTGTTGAAATGGCTATAAGTCTGTCTAACTAGGGTGCGGACAATAAGCGGCTTTTAGATTCAGGCCCTAAACGGTTAAGTAGTATATCAACAACATTGATGGGCCTTCAACAAGTACTGCTAAAAGTCTTATAAGCAACCTAGTAATAATTTTAGATTCCTAAAGTGAAAGCGAAGGCGCGGATGTAGAATCTGGACACAAAAAAATTTGAATTTGAAGCTCAATTGAAGGCGTATCTTAAAGAAAAACGAACTCATCTCGGTGAAAATTCTAAACTAAACTAAAATACGACAAATTGGCAGATCTGGACCGCAAATATTTGAGCGCTCCACCCGCCAGCGTTCCAAGTGAGAATTGTTCAGTGCTGCGCCGGCCTTATATACGAGTCTCTCAGAATTCGCTCATGGGAGAAAAGGCTGCGAAATTCCTTCTTTTGAGATATAATATGCCCCTTTTGAACCTTGACTACTAGATTAAAACACTTTATATGTAGGTTAAACACTCGTTCTACGTTCTAATAATGTATAAAATTTGTAAGTAATAAAAACGATAATTTAAGTTGATTATAGCTTTTTTAATGTTATTCCTAACATTCGCATGCGAATTCCCATTCGCATATTCGCATTCCGAAAATTCGCATTCGTACTCGCATTCGCGAATGTGAAAAATCTGATAACAAAATCGATAGCAACATCCAACAAAAAATCGATAAAAATATCTGTATCAAAATCGATAATAAAATCGAAAAATAACAGAGACCGTACCGGTTTTGCATTTTATAATAAAAAGCAAAAAATTTAAGTTATTTTTTGACTTTTATTACTTTGAGCAAATAATACCCGGTAATTTTGCTTTTTATTTTTTTAAGGCAAAAACAGAAGTTAAAATTTGCCTTTTATTTTTTTTTAGCGGAAAATAACACAGGTTTACAAAAAAACAAAAAGTGTATGCATATTAAACCAAACCTATATATCCCTATGTTATTCGACATGCTGAATGCGAATCCGAGGTCCGTTAGCCTCCATCACGTCAGGTTTGTGGTCATTTGAAGGTCAAGTAGGGAAAAATTCATTGAATAAACCTGAAAATTCAATAAAATTTGACCTTGGGATGACCTTGCCATGACCTCCAGATGGCCTTGAGGAATCAAGGGACCTCCATACTCGGTTTCAGTGACAACAAAAACAATTTATTTTTTTTTTAAATTTTTATTGCATAAATTTTATGTCCTATTTGACCTTCAAATGGCCTCGAAGCTGACATAATGGAGGT